TGCGGCTCGTGACGATACATTGATGTGTAAAGACACAAAACGATCGGTCTGTGCAAGAAGCTGAACAGTATTTATATCGTTTTTTATCTCTGATGCACTGCAATGCCTGAACTGTCTGAACTGTACTCGCTCAGTACACATCAATGTATCGTCACGAGCCCGCAGGGTTTAATTTGGTTTTGTTTGTGTATGTTTTTTTTAATTTTTTATTGTATGTTTTAGCCGTGATTCCCATTCACCTCCATTATAAGACTGACAGACTGCAACGGTTTGAGTTAAAAATCTTTGTTTGTGTTCTACTGAAGAAACAGTCACCTACATCTTGGATGCCCTGGAGGTAAGCAGATAAAGATCAAATTTTCATTTTTGGGTGAACTATCCCTTTAAATTAAATAACCAAAATGTGATTTTTACAGTTTTGTCTGGCTTTTCAAAGAAAAAAATCAATTACAAAACAACAATTTAAAAATATGTAACTCTGAACATTTTTAACATTCTAGCAAACACTATACCAACAAAGCACAATTTAGCTTAAAATTAATAAGTTAGTAAAATAATATTTTTTGGCCATCAGACCCCCTTTTTGAATCAGACATTTATTTTTTACTGTACAATTAAAAGCAGCCTTGCTGAGAAGAGACTTCTTTTAAAACATTAGAAAATATTACAGATCCTAATTTGAACACTATGTGTGAATGTTATAATAAATGTATTAACAGAGCTGGTATAATGATTATTATCATTATTATTGTCTTACTTTTTATTTTATTTTACAGAACAACAGTAAAATTACAATACTAACGCTTATGAATGTTGATGGAGTTCTTGCTCTTTCTCAACTTTTATTTTGGCGTAAACGCGCAGGAAGACCTCAATGCTTCTTTTTGTTGACAACAGCAGATTTATAAATGAGTCTCATTACGAATACGTCGTACATAGGGATATGCCGGTATCAAATTTTCATGTTGCGATTAATTGCTAATGCTTTTATTACGGTATACGGTATTATCACGATATTGAAGTTAAGTTAAAAAAAAGTGCTGTCATAATACAGTATAACCGGTTTAATAACATTTTTCTTATAACAAAAATAACTGAACATTTAAATGCAATAAAGCAATACAGAAAAATGTATAAAGTTAAAAGTAGGGATGCACCGATACCACTTTTTCCAGTACTCGCCCGATACCGATACTTTTA